AGAAGTATATGATAAAGAGCCAATGATCCTGGAGGAAGAAATCCAAGGTGCATTGAAGTCACTGGCGAAGAACAAGGCTCCAGGAATTGATGGAACACAAACTGAAATCTTTCAACCAAGTAATGGGGCACTCAAGGCACTTATCTATGTCAAGAAATTTGGAAGACAACTACCTGGCCAACTGACTGGAAGAGATTGTATTTGTGCCCATTACAAAGAGAGGTGACCCAATGGAATGTGGAAATCATCGGACAATATCATTGATATCCCATGTGAGTAAAGTTTTACTACAGGTAATACAGAAATGGCTGCAACTGTACATTGAAAGAGAACTTCCAGAGGTTCAAGCAGGTTTCAGAATAGGACGAGGAGAATAGGACGAGGAATGAGAGATATCATTGCTAACGTCAGATGGAGCTTGGCTGAAAGCAGAATACCAGAAAGATGTTTACTTGTGCTTTATTGACTATGCAAAGGCTTTCAATTGTGTGGATCATGACACGCTATAGACAACACTGCTAAGTCTGAGTATTCCAGAACACTTAACTGTACTCATGAGGAACCTGTACACAGACAAAGAGGCAGTTGTTCAAACAAAAGAAGGGAACACCAAATGGTTTAAAATAAGGAAAGATGTGTGCCAGGGTTGTATTCTTTCACCATACGTATACGAAATATGCTGAACAAATAATCAGAGAAGCTGGATTAGATGAAGAAAAACATGGCATCAGGATTGGAAGAAGGCTCATTAACAACCTGTGATATGCAGATGAAACAACCTTGCTTGCTGAAAGTGAACTTAAAATTCTTTTTTTTTCTCAATGTTTTATTGTGAATTATATGATATTTTACATGAGAGAACTTTAGTTTTACATTCATTCCATCGTATATCGTCTCATTGCCATGGTTCCAATCCCCTCCATGCATCATCAACTAACCAAAGGGTATACCCTATAAACCTACCCCCTACACTCTCCCCCTCCCCCACCCCCATTCTTCAGGACCCAGTCCCTCTCCCTCTCTGGATCCAAATTCTCCATCCGTTTCATCACTGCACGTCATCATCTTTGCCTCCATCTTGGGCAACGCTGCTTCTCTTGGTAGGGTCCTGCTCTCGGTTCTTCTTCATTGATGGTCCCAGAGACCTCCGCTCCTAGACTGGAGAGTTAATAGCTCTCTTCCTTGCTACCAAAGGTCTACCTTTACATTTCCAACCCTCACAATCAGTCCTGATAACAATCATTCACTATTGTATCACAAGTGACCTTTCTGCATTTCATTTCATCAGCTCCGCCTAGACAGATTGGATAGTACTCACTGGAGATTCTGCCTTCCTCTATGCCCCCTAGCTCTAGGTTCCCTCTTGAAAGCTTGTAAGCCAGTTACTTCTTGCCTTTGTGGTCCCTCCCTCCCATTTGGGTAGCCAATGTCCAAGTTGCCCATCTCTGTCTACTCTGTGTGTGGAGGGGGTGGGAACGTTTCTTGCTGTGAGGGTTTGTTCCCTCTTTTGCATTACTGCATCCATAGGTGTAGATCAATTCATCGGGACCAGGTCACATGGGTACCATCTGCAAATGTGGGTGTTCTTGTTAAAATTCTTTTTGATGAGCATCAAAGACCAAAGCCTTCAAGGAGGATTGTACTTCAATGTACAAAAATCCTTACCACTGGACCAATAAATAACATCAATGTAAATGGAGAAAAGATTGAAGAGGTCAATAACTTCATTTTGCTTGAATCAACCATCAATACTCATGGAAGCAGCAGTCAAGAAAACAAATGATATATCGCATTGGGCAATTGTGCTGCACAAGACCTCTCTCTGTAAAGTGTTGAGGAGCAAAGATGTCATCAGTTCGAGGACTAAAGGTACACCTGATGCAAAGCATGGTATTTTTAATAACCTCATATGCATGTAAAAGTTGGATAGTGAATAAGGAAGACCATAGAAGAATTGATGCATTTGAGTTACAGTGTAAGAGAAGAATACTGAAAGTACCATGGACTGCCAAAAAGAACAAAGAGAGCTGTGTTGGAAGAAACACTAGAGTGCTCCTTGTGAGACAGATGGTCAGACTTCGTCTTTCATACTTCGGACATAGTATCAGGAGGGACCAGTCACTGGAAAAGGATATCATTTTTGGTATAGTGGAGTGTCGGCGAAAAAGAGGAAGACCCCCAACAAGAAGGATTGGCACATTGGCAGCATCAATGTGCTCAATGTAGCAACAATTGTGAGATTGGCCCAGGATCGGCAGGGTTTTATTCTGTTGTGCATGGGATCACTATAAGTCGGTACCAACTTGATGGTACATAACAACAACAATAGTCCAATAAGAAAACCTCCTTAAGATGCTATGTATATTCCCCCAAGTCCTTTAAATAGAGTTCTGGTATGGCGCTGTGGGATAATGCACTAGATTACATAGTCGGCTTAAATCGCAAGGTCGGTGATTGAAACTCACCAGCTGCTCCTTGGAGACCCTATACAGAGTCGCTGAATCAGGACTGACTCAATTACACTTAACAACAATAACCCCTTTAAACAGTAAGAGCAGTGAGCAATACCCAGTTAGAAAGACACCACAGTTGCTCAAGGAGATCCTGAGAATTATCCACAGAAATATTAAAGCTAAAATCCTAGTGTGGTACTATAGGATAAGCACTGAACTGCAAGGTCAGTTTGAACCACCAGTCAGTTCAAATCCTTCAGCCGCCGCTTGGAAACCCTATACAGGGTCAATATGAGTTGGAACTGACTGGCTGACACATAACAACAATACAAACCAACATATGTATAAAAAAACTGCCCTCTTCAGGGCAGGTACGAGAAGCCCTGGTAGCATGGATTACAAACTGGGCTACTAACTGGAAAGTCGGCAGTTTGAATCTACCAGTCGCTCCAGGGGAGAATGAGGTTTTCTGCTCCCGTAAAGAGTTACAGCCTCGGAATCCCTATACAGGGTCGGTATGAGTCGGAACAAACTCCACGGCACATAACTACCACCACCACCATCACAAGGCAGGTACAATATCTAGTTAAAAGTTAAGTTCTTGGTTGCATAGATCCAAAGGTACAATTCCGGCATTAAATGATATACAGGGTAGCTATGAGTCAGAATTGACTTAATGGCACTAATTATTAACAACAACAACATTATTTATCCATGGTGGCGTAGGGGGTTTGGGCTGCTAATCACAAGGTCAGCAGTTCAAATCCACCAGTTGATCTGCAGGAGAAAGAGGCATTCTGCTCCAGTAAAGATTTACAGCCTTGGAAACCCTTTTTAAGGGTTGTTATGAGTCAAAAAGGAGCCTTGGTGTGGAGCTGTGGGTTAAGGCTCTGAACTGCAAAGTCAGTTTGAACCTCAAGGTCAATGGTTTGAAGAAAAAGATGTGGAAGTCTGCTTCCTTAAAGATTTACAGCCTTGGAAAAAAACTGGTTTTTATGAGTCAGAATAGATTACTTGCTTTGACTAACAAAATTAGCCCAATGCCATCAAGTCAATTTCAATTCATAGCAATCCAATATAGGGTTTCAAAAAACATAAACCTTTGTAGAATCAAGGAGACTCATCTTTGTCCCGAGGAACGGCTGATGGGTTTGAACAGTCAACCTAACGGTTAGCCTAACCCTCAGTGCTACCAGGGCTCCTTTCCGATTGACAAAGGCTGCAAAAAAAGGTCAAAAGGTAAATAGTAAGATCAGAAATGTATGACTTCTCAACATGGGGGTCCTGGTGTGACACTGTGGCATAATGCACTGGACCACAAGGTTGGTTAGAATCGCAAGGTCAGCAGGTCCTCAGACACACTATACAGGGTTGCTATGAGCCAGAATCAACTTAATGACAACAAATCATGGGCCATATGTTAAGTATTTACTTTGTTTCACTTTTGTAAAATTAAACTTCCTTTTAATCACAGCTAAAGATATGTCTACAGAAGTTGTAGCATAAAAACATCATCATTATAAATTAGTTTACATAAAGGGTATCATGTGCAACTGACTTAGACATATAGTTTTTATGTTTGAAATAATCATAAAAACTATAATTAAGGCAGAAAATGTCACTATACTAGTAAGTCTTCCCACTATCTGGGGAAGATCAATGTCACTTTCAGGAAAATTTCATCTGTAGTAACCATTCCATGGCTGCAAAACTTGTTCTGAAAAACACTACTGCAATTCTTAGTAATCAAGTTGAACCTAAAATAAACACAAGTGTCCTTGGACTACGAAACTGTCATTATATATGGAATCCAAAGGATGGCAGGAATGAGTTCTTTGTGAAAAAATTTTCTTTTCAAAGTTATTACTCAGTGAACTTGAAAAATACATGAAAGGCACTATTTTCATACTTTACTCCGTATGAACTGTTGGTGACAATCAGTACTTGTCCTAAGACACCCACACTTTTTAACTACAATAATACTTGATATTAACTTAGAATCAAATGTGAAACTAATCCCAACTATTTCTAAACTTGACAAATTGGGTGTATGAAATAATAGGCACCCAAACTGGTGTGGCACTGTGGGCTAATGCGTCAGACTGCAAAGTCGTTTGAACTGCAGGGTCGATGGTTCAAGCTCACCAGCTGCTCCTTGGAAACCCTATACAGGGTTACTATGGGTGGGAATCGACTAGAAGCCACTTAACAACAACAACATGTTACTCAACAAAGACTTTTTGGAAAAGTGAGTTTGTCAAATTATTCCGCCCAAAGAAAATCAGACTGAAAACTTAAAAAAACAAAGAAAGTAAGAAACCCCCCCCACAAATCATTAAGACTTCCGAGTTTAGGCTCCATAGCACACACTAATGACCGAACTGTTTTTGCCTTCTTAGTTCTGAAAGGCCCACCGGCCCGATGCGGCAGGGCACCTCCATGGGGGGTGCCTGGGGACCCCCATGCGGTCGGCAGTGGGGGTGGTGAGGTGCTCTCGCCTCTGCGTGTCCTTCTGGGACGGGCGACGGGGGAGCCTCCCTCACTCACCGTGAAGCGTTGTTCGTCGACGCTGCCCACAGAGAAGCAGTGGTCGCCGGGATTCACCGCCCCGGTAAGCACCTGGTGCAGGTTCATGTCGGCGCCTTACTCCAATAGAGGACTGTACGTCCGGCTCATGCCCGGAGTCGGCGGTCGCGTCTCTCTCTCTTAGGGGCGGAGGCCACTCTTCGCCCGTGGCCGCAACAACGATAAGCGCCAGAAGTCGGAGCCGCTCAGCTGGTGCCGGCGACTCATCCCCAGCCCAAGCCGGCGAGGCCTGGAAGGGGCGGGCCAGCGAGCGAGCGGGAGGGGCGCCGCGCTCCTCCGCGCACCTGTCACTGCCCGCGTGGGCCCAGATCTTGTCTGGGCCGACTCTCGGACTGGGAGGGCCGCGCTGTACACACACTTCCTGTGGACCCAGGACTGCGGGACCTCACCAACCCGAAATGGCGCAGGCAGCACGCGCTCTCTCTTCCTAGCAAACCGACCGCTTCCCGGCTCCGGTGCCCGCCACCCCCAACCGGCTCCGTCGTTCACTACGTCTCTAGGTCTTTTTGGCCGAAGTATCGCGAGATATCTACGGTGAGGGACCTTTTTTTTTTTTTTAACATAGTATGCATATTTCTAAGTGGATATGAAAACGCCTCGGCTTGACAAAACTGGCCAATCCTGAGAGCCAGTCTACCAAGGGCTCCGCCCACCATTGCCTGAAGACCAATCTTTTTGAAGCTTGTGAGCAGCACACGGTCCATCAGTGTACTGAATACAATTAGCCAAACAGAAGTATAATGAGCCCAAAATGAGGGGAGAGTTATCAAGTTATGCTTCAGTCTAAAGCTTATTCTGACAGTTGGTTCATAAAATTTAAAAGAGAGAAATGCATTATTATTGAAGGTGTGGAGATCTTGTTTTAAGGGAAACTACAAGTCCCAACATTCACCGCTCCCTTAGGCAGCTCCTTAGTATTTCCAAGTAAAGGAGGCTCTGGAAGCGTTACTGTTGCTAGAAACCTCGCTTTACTGTACCAGTCATACACGCATTTCCAACTTTCTAAAGAGGATAAATAATATGTACAAAAATGAAACTTTTTAAAACCTGACTTTTATCTTTTCTGTTTAGATTAATAATACTGCACTTCTGGTGTCGCGCTGTATTAGACTCTTAGCTATCCTGCATGGAGTTTCCTAGGAGCAGCTGGTGAGTTTGAACAATGACTTTGCAGTTGAACTGACCTGGCAGTCCAGTGCTTATACAGCACCACACCAGGACATAGTCATCTAGTGTTGTAACATATATCACAAGTGGATAGCTTTAATGAGTAGAAAATCATATTATCACAGTTTAGGAGGTTCACACTCACTCAGTTCCAAAGAGTGAACTCATAGCGACCCCATAGGACAGAGTAGGTAGAACTGCTCCCTAGGGTTTCTGAGAGTGTAAATCTTTATGGATTGTCCTGTTTCTTTCTGTATTGGTATGACGCTGTAGGATAAGCATTGGACTATACAAACCACAAGGTTGGCAGTTCAAACCCACCAGCCACTACCTGGAAGCCTATATGAGTCAGAACTAACTAAACGGCACTTAACAACAATGAAACAGTGCCAGTAACAATTTAGACACTGAATAAATATTAAATGAATGAATGAAAACATCCTTTGGATTCCATATGTAACTACACCGTCATTTTGTTGTTGTTTTTAAGTGCTGTAGAGTCAGTCCCGACCAATAGCCACCCTGTATAGGGTTTCCAAGGAGCAGTTGGTAAATTTGCAGTTCAAACGCTTTGCAGTCTGGCGCATTAACCCGCAGCGCCACACCAGGACTCCACACTGTCCAAGCATATTTGTATTTATCTTAGGTTCAAATTGATTACTAAAAATTGCAGTAATGTTTTTCAAAATAAGTACTGTATCCTGGATTAAATTTTCCTGAAAGTGGCATTGGTCTTCCCCAGATAGATGGTATTACTTACAGCCTCATTGTTCTTACACAGATTAGTTGTGTAACTACCAACCTTGATAGTACTAATCTAACATTTAATCCACCAGTGCTGTTTAGGGTGCCTGGGCAACGGGTAAGCTTTATCTGTGTGCTCTGGGGAAAAGCCCTTGCCATCAATCTTTCCCTGGGTTTAGCACAAGAACCCCCAGCTCCAAAAGACACTTTCCTCTCACTGTTCTTCCTTCTTGGTGGTTAAAGTTCCCTTTGATCTTGATCCCTTGTTTAATCCCTTTTATATCTCAAAATAAACTGACTAAAATAGATGCAACCTAATGTTGTAGGTTGTATACCAACCACATCATTAGCTTAACTTCCTCTAATCATGCCACATTACCAATACAAAAGTGAGGTTTTATAATGCATAGGAAAATTATGTTGTTGTTTAGTGCCATCCAACCCATGGGACCTTGTATAGGGTTTCTGAGGAGCAGCTGGTGAGCTTGAACCACCAACCTTGCAGTTCAAACAGCTTTGCAGTCTGGCGCATTAACCCACACACAGCACCACACAAGGATAATTATATCACATCACAGAATGGAGAATAGTTACGTAGTACTTAGAATTATGACCTAGCCAACTTGACATATATATTTTTGGAGTCACAATTCAATTAATAATATATGCTTATGTGTCTGTCTATTAGCCTTTTAGGGACAAATTGTCCAGTTTCTCTCTGTATTCCAAGTGTAGCTCTGGTAGCGTAGTGGATTACAAACTGGGCTGCTAACTGCAAGGTCAGCAGTTTAAATCTACAAGCTGCTCCGTGGGAGAAAGATGAGGCTTTCTGCTCCTATAAAGACTTACAGCCTTGGGAATCCTATATAGGGTCGCTATGAGTCAGAATCGACTCCACTGCACATAATCAAAACAGTGCCAGTAACAATTTAGACATTGAGTAAATGTTAAATGAACAAAAGGAAATACAAACTTCCACCTAAAAAGAGTATTTTTTAAAATTACTAACTTGATTCTTTATAAGCTTTTGTTAAAGTAAAAAAAAAAAAAAAAAGGGTGGGAAAACTACTATGTTTATTTTCGTTCTTTCCCCATTATTTTCTTCCTACTAATTTTTACAATGTACATTTACTTTGTTTTCCAATTAAAAGTTATTTAAAAAAACAAATTTGAGAACCATCTCCCTTTATTTAACATGAAAGACTAAAACAAATTCCCTTATTTATCCTAGTATCTTAGTAAAACTGAGATTTAAACCTCAATTTTAAAAAACTGTAGAGCTATAACAAATATGAGTTTAATTTATCTTTTCATTACCATTTCAAATTCTATTTAAAGTAACTGTAAGTTAATTTCATATTTTAGAACCTAAGTCAGGATATTTCCATGTACTGATGTGGACGATATATAACTAAATTCTATGCCTAGCCCATAGGTTAGCATGTTTATTCATTCCGTTCTGCCCAGTTTTTCGTTTTGAAGGGCATGCAGTATAGCAAAATACAAGAATCTAAGTAACCTAGTAGTTAGGAAATCTGGTTTCTCACATTAACTAGCTGTGTGAATTTGGAGAAATCCTTCTTTAAGCTTCATTTTCAGGACTTTGGGCAAGATGGCAAACTAGGCTGACACCTTACATAGACTCTCTACATCAAAAAATATGAACGGCCTAATCAAACAGATAAATGAAAAGCCTGCAACTCTGAACTTCACAAGGACTTCACCAGATGGGCTACACAGAAATCAGATTGACTACATCTGTGCAAAGAGACAGTGGAATAGCTCCATATTATCAGCCGAAACAAGGCCAGGATCAGACTGTTGAAAAGTACATCAACTGCTTAATATGCAAGTTCAGGCTGAAGGTGAAGAAAATTGAAACAAGTCCATGAGAGCCAAAATATGACCTTGAACATACCTTACCTGAATTTAGAGATCATCTGAATAACAGATTTGATGAATAAGACACTAATGACAAAAGACGAGTGGAGCTGTGGATGACATCAAGAACATTATAAAGAAAAAAGCAAAACATCATTAAGAAGACAAGAAAGAGGGAAAAACAAATGTCAGAAGAGACTCTGAAATTTGCTCTCCAGCATAGAGATGCTAAAGTAAATGGAAGAAATGAGGAGGTAAATGAGCTAAATATAAAATTTCAAAAGTCATCTCAAGAAGACAAAGTCAACTATTGTAATGAACTGTGCAAAGACCTGGAGTTTGAAAACCAAAAGAGAAGAACATGCTCAACATTTCTTTCTTTAAAAAAAAAAAAAAAAAAGTTTTAATTGTGAATTATGTGATAGTTTACATGGGAGAGCACTAGCTTTACATTTCATTGTCATGATTACAATCCCCTCCATGTATCGTTAAGCATCCAAAGGGTACACCCTGCAAGGCTACCCCCTGGTTGTCAGCACACAGCCCTCTCCCTCCCTGGATCGAGTCCCCAGTTGCTCCATCGCTCCACATCATCATCTCTGCCTCCATCTCTGGCATCACTGCTTCTCTGGGTAGGGTTCTGCACTCAGCTCTTCTCACTTGATGGTCCCAGGGACCTCTGCTCCTGGACTGCAAACTCAACCACTCCCCTCCTTTTGTTACAAAACATCTACCTTTACATTTCCAACACTCTCAGTCAGTCCTGAGAGCAATTATTCACTATTGTACCACAAGAGTCTTATCCCCATCTCCTTTTATCAGCCTCATACAGACAGATTGGAAACAAATTCAGTGGAGATTCTACCTTCCAGCGCATGCCCTCTGGATCTATGCTCTGTCTTGAAAGCCTATAAGCCAGTCACTTCTTGCCTTTGTAGGCCTCTCCCCCCCTCCCCCGTTTTGGGTAGCCAATGTCTAAGTTGCCCATCCCTGTCTACACTGTGTACCGAGGGGGTGGGAATGATCCTCGCTGTAAAGATTTGCTCCTTCTTTTGAGCTACTACATTCATAGGTATAGGTCAAGTTCATCAAATTGTATCAGATTACACTTTTTTCCTCTTCTTTCTTCTTCTAGTCAAATTCTGATCATCCAGCCACTGAAGCCAGGTCAAGTGGGTACTATTTGCAAGTATGGGTGTTCTTGTGTATCGCCCCTCACTTCTTATCAGCTGGATGGTTCACTCTTTGCTCTAGTC